GTTTCCTATTAACGAAAAGGTGTGAATCTGGGCGAAACTCTTCAAAACCACACTAGTGGTTACCTTAATCTGATTTATCATACTTTACAACTAGAACTTGCATTTTTCTAGAGAAAATATTTCCTTGAAATATCTCAAGCGTTTTTTGGTTATTATGACCTTTTCATTGTCTCAACTTATTCTATGACAGACGAAAATTACAATTTTTGCCTATTCTCAGTTTTTACATTAATTTTTTTCTCTTCTTTGCTTTCTTTGTTTCCATTTCAGAGTTCAATCTGGAGATTGTTATCACCATTTCACTCCATGTATCTATGAAAACTAAATGGATGACTATTTACCTCCTGAAATCCCACGAATCCGTTTATAAGAAGTAATTCTTCAAATATAGGTAAACTAAACAAATCAGTGGTCTGCTTTAGGTCTTTGTTCATAGCAAAATTTTCTTTATCAAATTTTCATATTTGTGCTAATTTTTCGTTATCCGTTGCTTACAGATTAATAATGATATTTTCTATTTGCTAACATTTTACTCTTATGCTCTATTCTTGTATCACACAATTACACCGAAACTAGTCGATCATTAAAAAATTACCCCAACGTTGGTATAATAATACATAGGTTGATATATTTAGTTTAAATCTGGGAGACCTCTTTACTTAGAATTACTCGTGGCTATGGCCTTTAAAAAAGAATCTCACTGTCATCAGGATGGCCTCTTAGACGCTCTTCAGCAAAATAGCATTCTCATATCGGGTCAAGGTGCAGATATAGAGATACTTTGATGGTTAACTCGCAAAACCGAATAAGATTAAGCACTTAGCCACCCTTGACCATCTAAGGTGATTTAATGACTGATTGTCGAATCTTGCTACGATGAGATAGATAGGTCTCAGGATTTCACTAAATTTCATATAGCCTTGTCTCCCACTCCATGTCGCTATGATCGGTATCGCGACTCGGTATCGAAATCCCATTGCTGGTATTGGTGAGACCTTTGCCAGATCAAAATTAAAGACCACCCTGGGTGAGGTAGGCTTTTGAAAGGCAAGGCGAAATTAAATTCTATGATATCCTGAGGCCTAATCGTTTTATTGTAGAAAAAATCAACTATAAGTTACTAAATAACTTTAAAGAATCTAGGGATGACCTCGTGGGCTGACCTCGTTTGGGCAACTTGGTCGTGATGTCAGAGGGACGTAGTTAGATGCATCTTGTCCGAATCCCTCTGCTATAATAGTTAGCATAATTCCCAGTATCGAACCTTGGACATTCCAAGACGTAGCATGGGAATGTAGCAAGACCGCGGTCTAACACTTGGAATTAGCATAACTACCACAGCAGAATAATTCGGACAAGATGCATCCAACCAAGTTTACCTGACAATACGACCAAGTTGAGAAAACAAGGTCTGGCCACTTTTAAACTTATAAAGTTACATTTGGTGGGCCAATATAAAGCGTCTTTGAAGAATATTTGCTAAATGAAATGAGATTACTTTGATGACAAAAGTATAGGCCAAAGTTCGAAATGGATTTTCATGTACCTCACAGACGACGGGATTTTATACACTCTCAGCTAGATCAATAAGCTTACCTGATTTGTTTGCACCATTTTGGCAAGGCTTAGTCACTTGGCCGGCGAGCCTTCTTTTATTCGCCATCTCTACACTTTGAGTCACATTTTTGCCCGGATATCTTCGTTTGTCTGACGTAGGCTCGATCTCTTTCGACACATAAAAATAATCTTCCGAATGACGGGGATGTCTATCGCCTTCGTCAAGCTTGTGTCCAGAGCCATTTCCAAATACTGCCTCAGACAGATTTCTCTTCTCTACTGATTTATCATGCAGCAGAGAACTCTGGAAGAGTTGGAGGCCAAGTGGTGCTCCTTTCTGATCACCTTCCACCGACAGGTCGGATATACTCTGTTCCCACTCGTAGCCAGGCATCACTGCAGCTGCCGTTTCTCTGGTAGTATTTTCTGCAACTCTGAGCATAAAATCCATAAAAATATTCTCCTTCTCCTCGAATAACCCCTCAGAAATTGCCGTTGGAACCCCTCGTCCAGAGAACTGTGTCTCCAGTGTCTGTTCTGCGCCGGTCAAGTCTAGCCCGTCGTCGTCCAAAACAGCAGATGGCAATCCACGACCTGAACCAAACTTCCATAAACGCCTACCGCTTGCAGAATTTGTGACGATCAAGTTAGTGTCTAACCAGAATGAGTGAACTGAAATGTAAAGGTGAATACAGGCCTGATGTACAAGAGAAGATAGCAAATAATCCAAATGATCCAGCGATTTAGATCTTACTTGCAGCGTAATTCGTGAACAATTTGGCCCTTAAAATTGACTCTCTGTTGGCAACTTCATTTCACATCTATATCCTGTTGTTGCCTTTGTTTATTTCACAATCTCCTGCCTGTTTTATGTCTATGCGTGCTAATGATGTGCATTCTATATATCAACATGTTACACTGTTCTGACACTTGCCGGCTGCAATTAAAAAGTCATAGATCGAAATTATTTTTTACTTCTTGCTTATTCTTAATTATTATTATTAGCCTGAATTTGTATTTATTGTTGCATTTTATTCCTTCATTTCATATAATTCACAAAATTAAAAAATGTACTTTCTTCTTAATAAATAATTAACGGTGGCAATCCTTTAAAAAAGGAGTAGGGTGAGGAAACGCCCAGCAATAGGTCGTAGTTCTTAGTTGCGATCGGGCATGAACATATTACGAATAGATTGACCATCGTCGAAAAGTATTTAAGGAGCTTGTAAACGAATAGTTGTCACTATAAGTAGGTTACGACGACGAAAGGCCAGATAGTTGAATTGCTCACAATTTAATGCATATAAGATATTTCTATACCATTGACTCTAGCTTAGCATTTCCTCAAAATCATTACTTTACTGAGGTCTCAGCCCCGACTGGCTCTCATCACCACCCAAAAGGGATTCTAAGTCATGTTTTGATCGTAGAGCATCAATAGGCTGCCACTTGGTCACACGGCCCGAATGACATTAAATTAAAGAACAGATATTACTTTCGGTGCAACTTCTACTCGTTTAAGAGTTCTAACCAACCTAGGTAGGTTAATATGATTTAAGAACTGGTATCTTAGTTTTTACCACCATCAGAGGAATAGATTTGACGATGCCATTTAATTTCTTTTCCAAAAAGGTATCCTTTTTACGGCTTGACTAGACTGCAGTTTCGACCCCACCTTGGTCTCATCAGCACTCAGCGAAATTCGTTATCGGGTCGTGAGTATTTTGGAGGCGTTACCACTCCACTACATGACCATTACTTAATTTAGATATAAGTAGATTTCGAAACTATTAATAATTCTTTAACTATAAGTAGCCACCTTAGGCCTATTCTAATTAAGTCTCTTTAGTTTGGCATCTTCGAACTCTAGTCCAGTACATTAAAGCTTAAATGGCTTACCACATATGTAAACTAGCCGGAGATTGGCTTTTGAACAATGTTTTACTTCACTGTGAACTCTTGCCTCTGAGGAGATGGATTTCTCCATGCCTCTATGCATTGACTGTCGCGGCAGTACATGCTGCACCTTCGTCTCCATAATTGATGTAGGATTTATCGTGCAGGCTGTTCGAGCATAACACAGTTCAGACACAATGTGAAGGACATCAATCTCGTTGCAGGTTTCTGAAAACAATTTTCAAATACAAAATAAGTTTAATCTTCAAATTCACTGTCTCATTAGCTTTCTGGTCTGGCCGACTTTCCTAAGACAGGCACACATATTAGGGATCCCTACCTCTTTAAAAATGAGTTTAATCAAATTTAGCCATATTTGACGTTAATTACATGAGTCTGCACCTAATTTCGCTCTGCCTCAACTTGAAACTATGTGAAATGTAGGTCAAAGCTGTAATAAAATCCCCTTCAACGCGAAAGGAGAAAGCATAGCTGGGAAGCAGAACAAAAGAGTATTATTAGTTTATTCGCACCTCTTCGCCACTGTGTATCTACCATTTTTAAGTATCCTAAGTGATTTAGAAAAGATATTGGAAGTTTTCCAACAATTATATGGTAGGCCTTATGGTGCCATGAAATTTTAGGAAGCCATTCCTCCCAAAGTGTTCTATAACTTGAAGTGGACTGCACTTTAGACCTCGTTTCGGTATTATCAGCCTCCCCAACGGGATTCGGACCAGTATCGTGAGCATTGTGGTTACACTCCGCTAAACAGCCAGTAAGTGCCAGTGAGCCATAGGGCAGATGAGGCCTTAAAAGCAGGCCAGGCCTTTCCCAAATCAATGTGAAGCAAATAGGGGTGCTTCATCAAATTCGACGACATTACTTATATTTCATGTGATTGGGCGTAGAAACTCTTTCCAGTGTGGGAGAGACTCTACTGTCCATCCTTGAATCACCTCGAGACACATAGGGAAATTAATCTTCTATTCTAAAAATAGAGGTATTTTTCAAGCATACTCACATGGGAAACACTGACTTTAGTCGTCCAAGTCGCCTAAAGAAGATCTAGCTTCGAAAAGTACTTGCATTAGAGGCAGTGAATTTATTTCAAAATAAATAGAATATATAATCAAGCATCAGAAACTGATATTGTCTCTGCTGGAGAAAGTTTATGAAAAGAACATTTTTTCCACATTTGATACTATCTCTCATGGGTCCTGAAGCTATACACTATAATAAAGCATGTTCACG